GAGCCCCCGATGGGGAGGACTGGGCTGGCTCTGCGGGCTTCTGGGGATGGAACCTTTCCTGCAGCCCCTCAATTGCCCCCTCTCCCCAGATGGGAGCCTGCGGCAAGTGCAGCCGGGCTGATGGCCGAGTGCTGTGATGTGCCCAGTGTGGGCACTCAGGGCACTCCAAGCCAGGACTGCTTTGCAAGTGGGGCACCCCTGAGAACTGTCTGTCCGGGGTGGGGGTCGGGTCCCTTTAAGCACAGCCCTTGGCTTGCCTGAGACAGCAGTTCCACGCTCTAAGTCCTCCTCTGATGCCCTGCCGGCACTGCTTCCGGCCATCCTTAAGCCCTGTTCAGGGTCCACTCTGTGTGGACATGCTAGTTCGAATTAGCAAAACGCTAATTCGAACTAGTTTTTTAGTCTGGATGCGTTAGTTCGAATTAGTGCTGTAGTGTAGACGTACCCCTTTTTATCAGTCACTGAGCCATGAGGCCGGGGGTCCAGCGGCAGCTTGATGCCCAGGCCTGGAATCTCTCTGTTGCCTGCAGGTCGAGGAGCACACAAGCTTAATGCACGTCCACATCTTTGGAACCTACTTCGGCTTGGCAGCCTCCTGGTGGCTGTACCATTCTTCCCTGAGCAAAGGGGTGGACAAGAAGAAGGCGAATCCGCTGTCTGAGTTGTTTTCAATGTTGGGTAAGGCATTTTCTGAACTTCTGAGCCTAGGGTGGGCAGTGGGATGACAGACCTTGGGGAGTGGGAATGGGGCTTGGAACCTTTGTGCAATGGAAGGGCTGAATACAGCCCCCAGGACCAAAGGGTGTTACCATCAGATGCTACCGACATGGGGAGTCTCAGCCCTGTTCCTAGGCTGATGCCCCGTCCTGGAAACCACCACTGCCGTGCCACCGGGGGGCCCCTTCTCGGCAGACTCCGCAGGATGGCCAGGGTGGCGAAATGGTTCCCGCACCACGACGGGTGTCTCCCTCGCTGTTTCCACACGTCGGTAGAGGCCGCATGAATACAAGATTAGTATCCACCTCTGCACAAACGAGCCGCGCGCTGCGACTCTGCAGCCCGGACGCAGGCCCGACGGGGTGTGTGAAAAGGGGGCAGGTGCCCGGGGGCCTGGCGATTCCAAAGGCCCCGGGGCTCCCAGCCACCACTGCAACTCCAGGCCCTCTAAATCGCTGCCCGAGCCCACACGGCATGACCTGGGTGGCTTCCCTAGCTCCGCCCCTTCTGTCCAAAGCCCCTCCCTTCCCTGGAGCGCAGAGCCGCCGCCCTTCTGGACCAGGGGCTCATGAAGCCTGTCAGCGCCCCCTGCAGGATGCAGAGACTCGTGGCTGTAGAGCGGATATCTGTGGATTTGCAGGGCTCTGCCTATTGGCAGGGGCAGTTTCATTATTAATATTTGTACTGCAGCAGGGCCTGCAGGCCCAAGCTGGAGTGAGGCCACGCCCTGCTGGGTGCTGTGGAAACACTTACAAAGACACAATAATCGAAAAAGAACAAGTGGCTAAAGGGCCGGGGAAACGACAGGCGACACGTGCGAAACGCTCCGGGCGTGATGTCTTTCCCTCTTATTTTCATCTCCGGGACACAGTTCTGTGGCATTGCCCTGCTTTGGCACCACAGAAAATGCAGGTTTCCGGGTCTGTCAGTTTGTCACCTCGTGCCGTCCCCGAATGAATTTCGTATTTTAAAGAAACAACATCGAGACAGAGGCCTTGATTTCTGTGGCTAGAATCCAGTGAATACTTATCTCACCTCTCCCTGGAGCATGGGAGTGCCCGCATCCTTTACTGGGAGCTGTGTTCTGCCCATAGGGAGTGGATGCTCTTTTGGGTCCTTTCCATCTGCCCCTCTGATCCCCACTCTGGCCTTGGTTATTGGGCTCACTCCGCTTGCTCTTTGCGCCTGTATGGGATGCTGAGATCTGCTGTCAGCGGGAGGGCGGATTCTGGACGTTGGCTGGAACCTCCCCAGGGCTCACTGGCACATGTCTGGTGTAGCCTGACAGCCTTCACCCACTGGTAAAAAGGCAAAATTAAATGCTCATCTTGCGGAGTCCCCAGAGCTCTTGCTCTGCGGTGTGATTCAAAGCAATTGGTGTTTTAATCTAACTCATCAAGACACTGTTAATTCTTCATTATAATTTTAGTGCCAGCTCGCTACCCCCAAGTGCTTGCTATCGAAAGTAATTATGTCTTCATGAATAATTCCTGAAAGCAGTGCCGAGGTAGTGCAGACACTCACAGATGAGCGACCAAGATAGCAATTTCACAATGTGTCCGGAGGGCGAGATAAAGATTATCCAGAATTCACTGGCCCCTGCCCCTCCCAGAAACTCAGAGCCTCATGGACACTTGCAACTCCTATGAATGGCCTATTTGCAGTTATGGGAATAGCTACTTGACCAGTGGGAATAAGAGATTCGCAATCTGGATCCTTCCTTCCAGTCCCCACTCCTGCCATTGGCCAGGCATTGCCATAGTGGGAAACACCAATGGGGTTTCCGAGTCTTGACTGTGATAGTGACCAATGCTAGATCCTTCTGAGAAGGATGTAAAACCTCCTCTTGTGCAATGCTGCACCACGCTGGAAAAGGGTGTCTGTTTCTTCCTGAGCCCTAGCCGGTGGCTAATTTATACCCCGAAGCATGAAGCCTGCTCAACCATTTAATCATAACCCGTGGAAGTGTAGCTGCAGCTGGGATTCTTATTCCTATCTGGATGAAATTCTGAAGCATGAAGCCTGCTCAACCGTTTAATCATAATCCGTGGAAGTGTAGCTGCAGCTGTGATTCTTATTCCTATCTGGATGAAATTCAACCCTGCACAAGACCTGTACACCACTTGTTTCATTTCAGCGTAGAGCTGTGGGTCATGTGCTGCACATGGCTGAATTTCACACACACAGGATTTGCATCTGTAACAATGCAGCACTTCACTTTATATATTCAAAGCACTGTAGAAATATTAACCAATCTCCTGCAGTTGTGAGTTCCACGGGTAAAATGTAGGAGTACTGCCACCTAGGGCAACCTCAGGAGAATGGAGGAGGCGACCTTGAGGGCATAAGATCCCTCTGAACATTTACATTACTTTTCTGCCCTCCAGGCAACAATAAGTAAAGTGGGAGAAGAGGGAGGAAATGAGAGAAGGAGAAGGGATAAAGAGGAGGGATGGGAGAACTTGGAACCTTTGGGACACAGAATATCCAATAGCAACCTTGAGCAAGTTATTTCTTAGACATAAGGCTGATACTGTTGCCTAGTCTCTGCTGACTTCAGAGACTGCCAGTCTTTGGCATGCAGGCTGCCACAAATTATAAATGCCCCAGCACCTGTTGTCTCTGGGATGTGAGATAACATAACACATCCACTTGACTCCGACTGTTTGTTACCAGGGGTGATTGACAGCATGTCGAGTGTATTTTTAGGGGTGTGCTCAAAGCACAGATGGTAACAAGCTGCAACCATCATCTGCCATGTTGGTTGCAAGGGAAGGTTGCCAGGGGTCAAGATGAAGGGCAAAAAGTCATCCTGCAACTGACAGCCCTGCTAAAGAAAATGGACGAGCTGCGTCCTGACTGTAATGTAAAGAGTAGAATAGACCATGAGGACTCAGGAGGGATGAACTCAGAGGTAAGTGCAGCTTACGTCAGTTCCCAGGGGCTATGCCTGATGGAAATGACTCTGCGCTTATGGAAAAGGAGCTGCTTGGAACACGATCTGACCAGACAATATCATTTTGCTGGGGACCCTGTTGGTTTTTTAGAGCATATCAAGGTCACTGGGCTGAAATCCAGTCTGTGTGTCAGGGGATCATTCCTCAGGCTGGAGGGTCGAAAGTGAGCAGCAAAAGCATCTAGGAACTTGAAAGAGCCTCTACCCATGAGCCCCCCACTCCCGCTCATGCAGATGTGATGTTGCTGGGAGCAGCGATTAACCAGCCGGGTTTTTCTGGAGACACATTGCACTCTGGACACGTGTGTTTTCGTTACCGATTTTAACGAGAACACTTGAAATTTGCTATGAGGTGACTAGCATGTGGAATGTATTGTGTATAATTCAAGCACACAGTAGAACATTAATGAGTCTGTGTCGGAGTCCCCTCTGCCATAGAGGTAGGAGGAGGGAAGATAAACCATATCTTGTCTTTAATACAGCCTGTGTCCCTAAATAGTCCAGCGTGGGCATAAAACTCCTGGGAACAAAGCTGGCTCCTGAAATGTGCAGTATGTGAGCCCCTGTGAGTGCACCCTCTGCCCTCTATTGGATGGACTCAGATATGCGCGGGTGTGAGAAATGTCCTTGTCCTTCGGTGGCTGGCCCATTCGCTGCTGATTGGGGCCTGTGTTATTTACGTCTGGGAGAAATTAAACATTCTGCATGAATATTTTAAAAGTCTGAAAAACCTACATATTTTGTCAAAACAGCACAATATAATCACAGTGCAACAGAATCCTGTGGCCATCCACCCAGCCGGAAAGCGGGAGCCCCAGCTGTCTGTGCCAGCCCTGAGGAGGGGGGGGGATCACAAATTCCACAGAGAAAAAAATAAAATTCTGCAGGGAACATTAATCCTGCGCTCATTCTGCACTGTGCACTAGCACAGAATTTCAGCAG